TTCAAAATGATTCCAAGTTGGTAATGGTAATCCTTCCACTCGCATATCGTAAAACAATAGTTTGTTTTTGCAACCTTAATTCTCTTGCAAATTGTTAAAACAACATTCTCTTTAATCAACTTAATTCATTTACTCATGATACGAGCATAGCTGTAGCCACCATAGCCACTTGCAAACCACTAAGCAAACATTCTCTTTCATTAACTAACGCCGTCACGGTATGTTGACTACGCGATGTCGACACTCCGTGTTTTTTGTTTTGTCGACGGTTAGGAACATCCTATTTTTCATTTGTCGACAGATCGGGCTGACACCATATATATATACATGAGATGTTTGTACAATAGATGAGGGATGAGGCAAAAATGAGTTGTTTATACAATAGAATAGGTTGATAACACAGGATTAAGTAGGTTGATAGGAAGCCAGTAAAGAACATGTACATGGTTGTATACATAACAGATTAAAGATGTTAATGGGCAGCCAGTACGGAATGATAAGGGGACCGTTGGGAAGCCAGTGGTGAAGTGATGTTTACACAATGGATAATATACAGTGTTACACAATGGATAATGTACAGTGTTACACAATGGATAATGCACAGTGTTACACAATGGATAACGCACAGTGTTACACAATGGATAACGCACAGTGTTACACAATGGATAACGCACAGTGTTACACAATGGATAACGTACAGTGTAACACAATGGATAACGCAGTGTTACACAATGGATAATGCACAGTGTTACACAATGGATAACGTACAGTGTTACACAATGGATAACGCACAGTGTTACACAATGGATAACGCACAGTGTTACACAATGGATAATGCACAGTGTTACACAATGGATAACGCACAGTGTTACACAATGGATAACGCAGTGTAACACAATGGATAACGCAGTGTTACACAATGGATAACGCACGGTGTTACACAATGGATAACGCACGGTACACAATGGATTACGGTGTTACACAATGGATAACGACGGTGTTACACAATGGATACGCATTACGTTACACACGCACGGTGTTACACAATGGATAACGTACGGTGTTACACAATTGATAACGTACAGTGTTACACAATGGATAATGTACAATGGTTGAGTAGGGTTACATGCAATTAATTGAGCAAGTGATGATAGGCCTTGGGGATGAAATATCCTTCATCTCTGTTGATGGCTGGGCAAATCTTCTTTATGCGTAGAGCTTCAAGTAGTTTTCGGGTTTTGAAATCAGGCTGGTTCCTCTCAATGACTTTGGTGGTGTTCCCACTGATGTTGTGGTTTGGGTTGGCTTTAAGGTGGTCGGTTATGGCGGATTTAGAGTCTTTGTTTCTTACTGAGGCCTGGTGTTCTTTGATCCTAATGGTGACTGGTCTAGATGTTTCACCAATGTAGGATTCGCCGCAGTCGCATTCTATCTGGTAGACAACACCTGCGGGATCTGGCTTCTTTGCCTGGCCGGGTCTGCCTGTGGCCTGCAGAAGCTTCTGTATATTGTTGCCTCTTTGGAACATGACATCAATGTTGGCTTGCTGTTTGAGGAGTCGTCGGATATGATGGCTAGTTGGTCCAATGAAGGGGAGGCTGATGGTGAAGGGGGCTGCTTGCTGTCGGGGAGGTTTAGTGTCAGGGTCGAGGGTATTGTTGATGATCTGGTCGACGAATGATGCAGGATATTTGTTGTAGTTGGTGAAGACGTGTCTCAGGTGGTCCAACTCAGTGTCTAGTGATGCAGTTGTGGAGCAGATGTTCTTGGCTCGTCTGGTCAGGGTGGAAATTATCTCTCTCTTGACTTGGATAGGGTGACTGGAGGAGAAGTGGAGATACTGGTCCGTATGTGTTGGTTTGTGGTAGACGCTGGTGTTGAGCTTCTTGTCATCTCTCTGGACCAGGACATCTAGGAAGGGAAGCTGGTTGTCTGTTTCTAATTCCATAGTAAACTGCATGCGGGGGTGTTGGGAGTTCAGGTGTTGGAGAAGGACGTTGGGGTCGTCAGATGGAGGAAGGATGACAAAAGTATCATCTACTTTACGGAACCAGCAGGTGGGTTGGATTGGGGACGTTTCAAGGGCAGTTTCTTCTTGGCTGGTCATGTAGATCTTGGTGATGAGTGGGAATAGTGGGGAACCCATAGGGAGGCCATGGGTCTGTTGCACTATTTTATCTTTCCATGTGAAGTAGGTGGAACTGATTCATCCATTGATGAGTTCTATGATGCTGTCAGGGGAAAGGTGGGTGTCAATCAAAGATGGGGGCCAATGAAAGATGGCATTTTAGAAGGTTTAAGTCAGATAGTACAAGTATATATGGATGACAACTTCTTTTATTCTAGAGCATGACGTTTTGATACAGGTTCTTGTATCGTTTTCAAGAATGAATGGTACAGGGAGAGAACAGGTGATATATATATACAACAAGACTAATTAACAACACAAGGCAGAATAACAACCACCAACCACCAACAGAGGATTACAGGAATAAACATGGAGGCCAGTGGAAGCCAATGATACACAGAGCATAGAATGTAAACAAGATTGACACTGTGATGATAGGGAATAAAGGGTAGCAGAGGGTAACGGGGATACACATGGAAGCCAGTAGAAGCCAGTAATGTTTATACAAGAGACAAGGGGTGGTTGATGAGCTCATTGTATGCAGTAGAAGCCAATAATGTTTCTACAAGAGACAAGGGGTGATTGATGAGCTCATTGTATGCAGTGGAAGCCAGTAATGTTTATACAAGAGACAAGGGGTGGTTGATGAGCTCATTGTATGCAGTAGAAGCCAGTAATGTTTCTACAAGAGACAAGGGGTGATTGATGAGCTCATTGTATGCAGTAGAAGCCAGTAATGTTTCTACAAGAGACAAGGGGTGATTGATGAGCTCATTGTATGCAGTAGAAGCCAGTAATGTTTATACAAGAGACAAGGGGTGATTGATGAGCTCATTGTATGCAGTGGAAGCCAGTAATGTTTATACAAGAGACAAGGGGTGATTGATGAGCTCATTGTATGCAGTTGAAGCCAGTAATGTTTATACAAGAGACTAGGGGTGATTGATGAGCTCATTGTATGGAGTAGAAGCCAATAATGTTTATACAAGAGACTAGGGGTGATTGATGAGCTCATTGTATGGAGTAGAAGCCAGTAATGTTTATACAAGAGACTAGGGGTGATTGATGAGCTCATTGTATGCAGTGGGGATAAAGTCGTCTTGATCTCTATTAATCAGTGGTCGGTATCGTTTGATGTTAATTCCTTCAGTTATCTTGCGTTAAGTAAAGTCTGATTGGTTTGTAGCGAGGATGGTTAAGTCAGTCCAGTTGATTTGGTGATGGGGATGAGTTGCTATGTGGTCTGATATGGCTGATTTCTGGTCTGATTTGATGGTTGATGTCTGATGTTCCTTGATTCTGGTGTTGACGGGCCTGGATGTTTCTCCTATGTATGAGTGTCCCCAATTGCAGTCAATTTTGCAGATTTGTAGAAATTATTTTTCAACTTTATAAGTTGAATTTGCATTTCAGATAATTTGTTACCGAAAGGTATCAGAATCTGCAAAGTTGTGTTTTGTTAAGTTTTGAGGACTAACAAGAACAGCCAGTTCTTATGCTGGCCTGTCAAATGTGCATCGTGAACTTGCCATTGGCATGCTGGAAGGGGGAACGTCAGTGATGTTGCAAGGACAATGGGGTGCAGCCGTCATGATTTACAGACTCGACTGCAACAAACTGGCACCACTGCTGATCGCCCTAGGTCAGGTCGACCACGTATGACGTCACAGGCTGAGGACCGTAATATTGTGTTATGTCACGGCTACAGGAACCAGAAATGAGCTGTTTAGGGGTCGAATGTCAGCATCCGAAACCGCCGGCGAGTTGCTCACCTTCGTGTTTGATGACCATACCGCGGAACCATTTTGACACCATTACATCGACGACACCTCCGATGGACTCAGAGAGACTGGAATCAAGTTTTCTTCAGTGGTGAATCAAGAGTTACCCTCAGATTCGCTGACGGTAGGATGGGAGTGTGGAGGCGATGCCGTGAATGTTATGCTCAGTGTTGTGTACAGGACGTGGACAGATTTGGGGGCGGACGTGTCATGGTTTGGGGTGCTTTCTGTGGGATTGCCCGTTCCTGACTTAATGCTGCAGTTTACTGTGACCAGGTGCTAGCCTCCGAACTTATTCCATTCATGGCGGCACATGGTCCATGTCTGCACTTTCAGCATGGCAATGCCAGATCCCGTACATCCAGGAATTACCTGCAGAACGCAGGAATCAACTTTCTTGACTGGCCGTCAAGGTCACCTCAATCCAATCGAGCACAGCTGGGATGCTCATGGTGGAGGTCTGCTCACTCTCAGTAACCAACCCCAGAATTTGCAGGATCTTGGTGCTGCTTTGCAAGAACAATGGCGCCGGGACCTCAACAATGTCTTTACACGCATCGGACAGTCCATGAGGAGGCGTTGCTTGGCAGTTGTGAATGTACGGGGCAGCCACACACGCTACTGAACATTTGAAACATCAGATTTAATTTCTTGTGACTTGACACTTTGTTTACGCCTTTTATTGATAAATTCTGTAACCACATGGAACCGATTTGGGGTATTGTGATTATTCTCAGTTCACCCTATCAACCTTAACAAATAAATGATAATCTCTATACCACATTCTTGTGTCCTTTCTTTAATATTTAATTTAATATAGGATTGTGAAGTTTCTAGTTTGACTGAGTATAGATTCGAATCTTAGCTAAATTTCTTTGACACTGAACAAAGGACATCATTTGAAGTTTTACATCAGTAATGTGACAGTTGTTTAGTAGACAGCCACGGGGACTTCTGTTGAAAGGTGACATTTTTTTGTAACTGTAACAATAAATGCAGGATTTATGGCAATGTGATAAAGGTAGTATTTCAGAATTATAACAGTGATGACCAGTGTTTAGTGTGTCTAGGAAACTGATTCTGTGTTGCAGGTGTCTGGCAAACATCTACAACATGAAGGTGTTCAAGAAGTGCTGCCCATTCCAGAAGGAGCTGCACTCAGAGATCACAGCTGTCATCAAGGTCAGACATAACATGGAATGAGTTTAAGTCTGTTGTTGGTCTCTCAGCTTTAGCTGATATGAATTTATGTCTAATGACCATTCTGGAAAGCTTTACATCCTAAATTACATAGTTCACTTGAATGTAATATCCAAGGAATTTTAGAAATTCATACAACCAGGAATAGGGAGATTGTGCATAACCTCGTCTCACACCACCAGTGAGAGGGTAGGGAGATTGTACATGGCCTTGTGTCACACCACCAGTGAGAGGGTAGGAAGATTGTACATGGCCTTGTGTCACACCACCAGTGAGAGGGTAGGAAGATTGTACATGGCCTTGTGTCACACCACCAGTGAGAGGGTAGGGAGATTGTACATGGCCTTGTGTCACACCACCAGTGAGAGGGTAGGAAGATTGTATATGGCCTTGTGTCACACCACCAGTGAGAGGGTAGGAAGATTGTACATGGCCTTGTGTCACACCACCAGTGAGAGGGTAGGAAGATTGTACATGGCCTTGTGTCACACCACCAGTGAGAGGGTAGGGAGATTGTACATGGCCTTGTGTCACACCACCAGTGAGAGGGTAGGGAGATTGTGCATAACCTCGTCTCACACCACCAGTGAGAGGGTAGGGAGATTGTACATGGCCTTGTGTCACACCACCAGTGAGAGGGTAGGGAGATTGTACATGGCCTTGTGTCACACCACCAGTGAGAGGGTAGGGAGATTGTACATGGCCTTGTGTCACACCACCAGTGAGAGGGTAGGGAGATTGTACATGGCCTTGTGTCACACACCACCAGTGAGAGGGTAGGGAGATTGTACATGGCCTTGTGTCACACACCACCAGTGAGAGGGTAGGAGATTGTACATGGCCTTGTGTCACACCACCAGTGAGAGGGTAGGGGAGATTGTACATGGCCTTGTGTCACACACCACCAGTGAGAGGGCAGGAAGATTGTACATGGCCTTGTGTCACACACCACCAGTGAGAGGGTAGGAGATTGTACATGGCCTTGTGTCACACCACCAGTGAGAGGGTAGGGAGATTGTACATGGCCTTGTGTCACACCACCAGTGAGAGGGTAGGGAGATTATATATGGCCTTGTGTCACACCACCAGTGAGAGGGTAGGGAGATTGTACATGGCCTTGTGTCACACCACCAGTGAGAGGGTAGGGGAGATTGTACATGGCCTTGTGTCACACCACCAGTGAGAGGGTAGGGAGATTGTACATGGCCTTGTGTCACACCCCACCAGTGAGAGGGTAGGGAGATTGTACATGGCCTTGTGTCACACCACCAGTGAGAGGGTAGGGAGATTGTACATGGCCTTGTGTCACACCGCCAGTGAGAGGGTAGGGAGATTGTACATGGCCTTGTGTCACACCACCAGTGAGAGGGTAGGGAGATTGTACATGGCCTTGTGTCACACGACCAGTGAGAGGGTAGGGAGATTGTACATGGCCTTGTGTCACACCGCCAGTGATATAACTATATTGATAATCATAAGTCTGTATACACCAAATGTGGATAACATCTATTTATATGAATAATTATCATTGAATGAGTGATTTTAAGGGTGATGTGTATTATGTGACTGTGAATCCTGCTTTATGTTGTCAGCGTGGGAATCTTGACTGGTATGAGAGAATCTACAGCAGCTGCAGATCCCTGACCAAGGTAGGACAGTACACTCACAATGCTTTGTCTTGCTAGCCCTATGAAAGTCCTTGAGATTCTACATAATTGGCATCATATATTTGCAGTTATAATGATGTGGTTATATGACTTGACATGGAGGCATTATCTTTTTGCTCATTGCTGCATGTATTATGTTAGTATTTGGTTCTGAAAGCTCTTTCAATTACTTCATGTTAAAACTGTAGTTGTTATGAATTCCTGTCCCATAAAGAGCCCTTGGAAGTCAGTGTGAGCTCATGTCCAATCTCTTTATCTGTCGTCTGTCCATCTCTCCATCTATTTGTTTGCAGCGTGAGGAGGACAGCCTACAGAGCCTTATAGAACTGACAAACCACCTGAATGCAGACATCTACCGGGGCAGCCAGTACTACAACAGCATCTTCGAGAGGTACACAGGCTCACACGGTTAGGGTTAGGGTTAACCCAGAGGTACACAGGCTCACAGGATTAGGGTTAACCTAGAGGTCACACAGGCTCACAGGGTTAGGGTTAACCCAGATGTACACAGGCTCACAGGGCTAGGGTTAACCCAGAGGTACAAAGGCTCACAGGGCTAGGGTTAACCAGAGGTACACAGGGTTAGGGTTAACCCAGATGAACACATGGTTAGGGTTAACCCAAATGTACACAGGCTCACAGGGCTAGGGTTAACCCAGACAGGCTCACAGGGTTAGGGTTAACCCAGACATACACAGGGTTAGGGTTAACCCAAATGTACACAGGCTCACAGGGCTAGGGTTAACCCAGAGGTACACAGGCTCACAGGGCTAGGGTTAACCCAGACATACACAGGGCTAGGGTTAACCCAGAGGTACACAGGCTCACAGGGCTAGGGTTAACCCAGAGGTACACAGTAGGGCTGCGCAATATAACCGGTTTACCGGTATTTACCGGTTCAGACATGAAAACAATACGTATTGCGGTACACTGATCGAAAACCGGTATTTTGACATGCATTCGGAAAACTTTGTACGGAAATCTTCAGATATTTCCGTTTTTCAGACCGGAAGTCTGGCGACCCCTAACAACAAACAATTTATTATGGTGCCAAAATACAAGGACAAAAGCTTCAGTATGGCAGCATTTGGGGTTGAAAAGCTTCACGGTAACTGGAACTACTGATAAGACTAACGCGATATGTAAAATATGCAATGGTAAAGTGTAATGCTCAAGCGGGACGATTAAAAGTTATTAAATTCAGCTTAATCAAGCATAATGACTTTGTTCTGTTTTTTGCTATATAAATCAAGCATTACCTCGATTATGAGTAGTTTTTTAGTTAAAAGAACCTTCTTGCAATATATTGCAATACATATCGCAATATATGCTTTCGCATCGCAATATATCGCAATATGAAAATTCTCTGCTATACCCACCCCTAGTACACAGGCTCACAGTGCAAGGGTAAACCCAGAGCTACACAGGTGAACAGGGTTAGGGTTAACCCAGAGGTACACAGGCTCACAGTGTTAGGGTTACCTAGATTAACACAGGGTTAGGGTTTACCCAGACGTACACAGGGTTAGGGTTAACCCAGAGGTATGCACAGGGTTAGGGTTTACCCAGATGTACACAGGGTTAGGGTTAACCCAGAGGTATGCACAGGGTTAGGGTTAACCCAGAGGTACACAGGGTTAGGGTTAACCCAGAGGTATGCACAGGGTTAGGGTTTACCCAGACGTACACAGGGTTAGGGTTAACCCAGAGGTATGCACAGGGGTTAGGGTTAGGGTTAGGGTTAACCCAGAGGTACACACAGGGTTAGGGTTAACCCAGAGGTACACAAATACACAGGGTTAGGAGTTTACCCAGAGGTACACACAGGGTTAGGAGTTAACCCAGAGGTATGTACAGGGTTAGGGTTAACCCAGAGGTACACAGGGTTAGGGTTAACCCAGAGGTTATGTACACAGGTTAGGTTAACCCAGAGGTACACAGGGTTAGGGTTAAGCAGAGGTATGCACACAGGTTAGGGTTTACCCAGAGGTACACAGGGTTAGGGGTTAACCCAGAGGTACACAGGGGGTTAGGGTTACAAGGGTTAACCCAGAGGTATGTACAGGGTTAGGGTTAACCCAGAGGTACACAGGGTTAGGGTTAACCCAGAGGTATGCACAGGGTTAGGGGTTTACCCAGACGATGTACACAGGGTTAGGGTTAACCCAGAGGTATGCACAGGTTAGGGTTAACCCAGAGGTACACAGGGTTAGGGTTAACCCAGAGGTATGCACAGGGTTAGGGGTTTACCCAGACGCACACACAGGGGTTAGGGTTAACAGAGGTTAGGGTTAACCCAGGGTTAGGGGTTAACCCAGAGGTATGCACAGGGTTAGGGTTTACCCAGAGGTACACAGGGTTAGGGTTAACCCAGAGGTATGCACAGGGTTAGGGTTTACCCAGAGGCACACAGGGGTTAACCCAGAGGTATGCACAGGTTAGGGTTTACCCAGAGGTACACAGGGTTAGGGTTAACCCAGAGGTATGCACAGGGTTAGGGTTAACCCAGAGGTATACACAGGGTTAGGGGGTTAACCCAGAGGTATGCACAGGGTTAGGGTTAACCCAGACGTAGGGTATGCAGTTTGTGAGGCAGTACACAGGGTTAGGGTTAACCCAGAGGTACACAGGGTTAGGGTTAACCCAGAGGTATGCACAGGGTTAGGGTTAACCCAGAGGTACACAGGGTTAGGGTTAACCCAGAGGTACACAGGGTTAGGGTTTACCCAGAGGTACACAGGGTTAGGGTACCCAGGAACACACAGAGGTATGCCACCCAGTTAGGGTTAGCACAGGTTTACACAGTTCGCTACAGTTCATAGGAGCTACTCTCTCATAGGACACTGCAGGACATTAGCAGCTCCAATATTGCACATTCACAGTTGTTGAGCAGTTCTCTATTGCACATTCACAGCTGTTGAGCAGTTCTCTATTGCACATTCACAGCTGTTGAGCAGTTCTCTATTGCACATTCACAGTTGTTGAGCAGTTCTCTATTGCACATTCACAGTTGTTGAGCAGTTCTCTATTGCACATTCACAGTTTTTGAGCAGTTCTCTATTGCACATTCACAGTTGTTGAGCAGTTCTCTATTGCACATTCACAGTTGTTGAGCAGTTCTCTATTGCACATTCACAGTTGTTGAGCAGTTCTCTATTGCACATTCACAGCTGTTGAGCAGTTCTCTATTGCACATTCACAGCTGTTGAGCAGTTCTCTATTGCACATTCACAGCTGTTGAGCAGTTCTCTGCACATTTGCACATTCACAGCAGCTGTTGAGCAGTTCTCTATTGCACATTCACAGCTGTTGAGCAGTTCTCTATTGCACATTCACAGCTGTTGAGCAGTTCTCTATTGCACATTCACAGCTGTTGAGCAGTTCTCTATTGCACATTCACAGTTGTTGAGCAGTTCTCTATTGCACATTCACAGTTGTTGAGCAGTTATCTATTGCACATTCACAGCTGTTGAGCAGTTCTCTATTGCACATTCACAGCTGTTGAGCAGTTCTCTATTGCACATTCACAGCTGTTGAGCAGTTCTCTATTGCACATTCACAGCTGTTGAGCAGTTCTCTGTTGCACATTCACAGCTGTTCTCATTGCATTCACAGTTGTTCAGTTGCACATTCACAGCTGTTGAGCAGTTCTCTATTGCACATTCACAGCTGTTGAGCAGTTCTCTATTGCACATTCACAGCTGTTGAGCAGTTCTCTATTGCACATTCACAGTTGTTGAGCAGTTCTCTATTGCATTCACAGCTGTTGAGCAGTTCTCTATTGCACATTCACAGCTGTTGAGTAGTTCTCTATTGCACATTCACAATTGTTGAGCAGTTCTTCATGTTCCTGTATTGCACATTCACAATTGTTGAGCAGTTCTCCATGTCCCTGTATTGCACATTCACAATTGTTGAGCAGTTCTCCATGTTCCTGTATTGCACATTCACAATTGTTGAGCAGTTCTCCATGTCCCTGTATTGCACATTCACAATTGTTGAGCAGTTCTCCATGTTCCAGTATTGCACATTCCATATTGTTGAGCAGTTCTCCATGTTGAGACTGCTCAAACTTTATAAGTTGCCCACTCATGCATATGTAATAATGTTTGTTTTATATTTCAGTCTTGTAAGCGTGAACTACTTTTCATTCACCTATCGACAGCTGGAGAAGATGGTAAGGGCTCTGTAACCCTAAGTTCCTGACTGTTTATCATTCCTGCATGGTGTATTGAATAGGACATGTCCTAAACCTGCTGATGTGTTGATTACTCCATAGTATGTTTGCCTGTCTTGTTGGAACAAGGTTGTCTTAGTGTCCTCATTCCCTACTGTTTATCAGGCATCCACTCCCACCCAGTCCCCCGTGTCAAACCACCCCTTCCCACATGTGAGCATTTCCTCCCAAACAGTGTATTGTCCTGTTTCTGGTCTCCCATCTCCACAAATAATTGCTCCAGTGGAGAATGGTGGGAAGGCCATGTATGATCCATGTATCCACTAGCCTAATGCTCCAGTGGCGAAAAGTGGGAAGGCCTTGAATGATCCATATATCTGTATGATCCATGTATTCACTAGCCTAATGCTCCAGTGGAGAAAGTTGGGAAGGCCATGTATGATCCATATATCTGTATGATCCATGTATCCACTAGCCTAATGCTCCAGTGGCGAAAGGTGGGAAGGCCTTGAATGATCCATATATCTGTATGATCCATGTATCCACTAGCCTAATGCTCCAGTGGAGAAAGTTGGAAAAAGGCCCTGTATGATCCATATATCTGTATGATCCTTGTATCCACTACGGCACTAGCCAAATGCCCCAGTGAAGAAAGGTGGGAAGGCCTTGAATGATCCATATATCTGTATGATCCATGTATCCACTAGCCTAATGCCCCAGTGGAGAAAGGTTGGAAGGCCTTGAATTGATCCATATATCTGTATGATCCATGTATTCACTACGGCACTAGCCTAATGCTCCAGTGGCGAAAGGTGGGAAGGCCTTGAATGATCCATATATCTGTATGATCCATGTATTCACTAGCCTAATGCTCCAGTGGAGAAAGTTGGGAAGGCCATGTATGATCCATATATCTGTATGATCCATGTATCCACTAGCCTAATGCTCCAGTGGCGAAAGGTGGGAAGGCCTTGAATGATCCATATATCTGTATGATCCATGTATCCACTAGCCTAATGCTCCAGTGGAGAAAGTTGGAAAAAGGCCCTGTATGATCCATATATCTGTATGATCCTTGTATCCACTACGGCACTAGCCAAATGCCCCAGTGAAGAAAGGTGGGAAGGCCTTGAATGATCCATATATCTGTATGATCCATGTATCCACTAGCCTAATGCCCCAGTGGAGAAAGGTTGGAAGGCCTTGAATTGATCCATATATCTGTATGATCCATGTATTCACTACGGCACTAGCCTAATGCTCCAGTGGCGAAAGGTGGGAAGGCCTTGAATGATCCATATATCTGTATGATCCATGTATCCACTAGCCTAATGCCCCAGTGGAGAAAGGTTGGAAGGCCTTGAATTGATCCATATATCTGTATGATCCATGTATCCACTAGCCTAATGCCCCAGTGTAGAAAGGTGGGAAGGCCTTGAATGATCCATATATCTGTATGATCCATGTATTCACTACCCTAATGCCCCAGTAGAGAAAGGTGGGAAGGCCTTGAATGATCCATATATCTGTATGATCCTTGTATCCACTACGGCACTAGCCAAATGCCCCAGTGTAGAAAGGTGGGAAGGCCTTGAATGATCCATATATCTGTATGATCCATGTATCCACTAGCCTAATGCCCCATTGGAGAAAGGTTGGAAGGCCCTGTATGATCCATACATCTGTATGATCCATATATCTGTATGATCCATATATACACTGGCCTAATCCCCCAGTGAAGAAAGGTGGGAAGGCCTTGAATGATTCATATATCTGTATGATCCATATATCTGTATGATCCATATATCCACTGGCCTAATGCCCGTGCTGATAAACATGGGAAGGCTCTGTATGATCCATATATCTGTATGATCCATATATCCACTAGCCTAATGCCCCAGTGGAGAAAGTTGGGAAGGCCTTGCATGATCCATATATCTGTATGATCCATATATCCACTAGCCTAATGCCCCAGTTGAGAAAGGTGGGAAGGCCCTGTTTGATCTATATATCTTCAGCATACCCTGGTTATACTGTCATATATCCAGGGTGGCATTATAACAAGGTAGGACAGTTAGAAACCCTATGCAATCAACAAGGTGATTGAGCTGATGTCTCCTGTACTGAGCCTTGAATGGCTGGATAATCCCAGCTTCTTGGGGCTGAGGGTGACTTGTTCAAGGTGGCAGGAAGTGTATTGTCACATGTGTTATCCCATCTGGGATTACATGACTACTTAAAGCATTAGTGAGTTTTGTCAATTAATTTGAGTCATTAAGGTATGTTTACTGCATCCAGCCAGTGTAATTGGTTTTACAAAAAACATTGGCAAATTGCATTATATCCAGTTTGGCGGGGTATTATATGGGCAGGAAATCTGTACTGGCAAAAACATGGTATTATATCCAGGGTGACATTATAACCAGGGTGCACTGTACAGGCCTAATGCCACAGTGATGAAAGGTGTGAAGGCCTTGTTTGATCCAAATAGCCATCGGCCTGATGCCCCATCAGCTGCTCTTCAGGCTTGGGCTTCTTGAACGTCTTTCTTGAAAAGTGGTGTATTATTCCAAATTCTTACATGAATATATCAATAACGGTTCTCAAATTTGAGTTGTGGACTTCAGCTGTTTGTGAAACAAACCCTCCATGCTTATGAACCCACCCAAATTCTGGCTATATGTAAATAGCTAGGTCTGGAGCAGACAATCCATGATGTTGATCACTGGATTGTCTGGTCCAGATTATTTACAGACTGCCGCCATATAGCTGGAATGTTTCTGAGTGCAGCGTTAAACAACAATCAATCAATCTATAAACCCACCTATGAATGTGTTCCCACGAAAGACTGCATGGTGGAGCAGCCCACTGTTACAGGGCTTTGTAGCTGTGATGTTTGCTCGCTGTCCATCTGTTTGTGTGTTTATTGTACCGGTGTTTCTCCCAACAGCTGGCCACGGACATAAGCAAGGGGCTGGAAGAGGAGGTTTGTCTTATTCTGTTAGTTGTCTTTCTATTCATTTGCTTTGCCTTCCCCATTCAGTTAGTGCTGTCACTGTTTCAGCTCTGTGTTTTTATTTGGATCACTAGCTTGGGGTATTACCAGGTTGAGTTGATCAGCGATGCACTCATGATGGCAGTCAACATGTCCTGCACGGACAACTGTAGTAGTGGTTAAATTGTAGGCTAAAACCACTTAAACAGTTTCCATAAATCTCAAAGTTACTGAAGAGAATGTCCTCCAGCTGAAGCCAATGTTTTCACCACTTCTTCAGACAACAAGTCACTCAGCTGATCAGTCCAGGTCAGATGTTGTGTTCAGTGCATTCACCAACTACACAGATCTTTCAGACAACCACCAACTAGGCAGACCGTTCAGACAATCACCAACTAGGCAGATCTTTCAGACAACCACCAACTAGGCAGACCGTTCAGACAATCACCAACTAGGAAGATCTTTCAGACAATCACCAACTAGGCAGATCTTTCAGACAATCACCAACTAGGCAGATCTTTCAGACAACCACCAACTACACAGATCTTTCAGACTATCACCAACTAGGCAGATCTTTCAGACAATCACCAACTAGGCAGATCTTTCAGACTATCACCAACTAGGCAGATCTTTCAGACAATCACCAACTAGGCAGATCTTTCAGACAACCACCAACTACACAGATCTTTCAGACTATCACCAACTACACAGATCTTTCAGACAACCACCAACTAGGCAGACCGTTCAGACAATCACCAACTAGGCAGATCTTTCAGACAACCACCAACTAGGCAGACCGTTCAGACAATCACCAACTAGGAAGATCTTTCAGACAATCACCAACTAGGCAGATCTTTCAGACAATCACCAACTAGGCAGATCTTTCAGACAACCACCAACTACACAGATCTTTCAGACTATCACCAACTAGGCAGATCTTTCAGACAATCACCAACTAGGCAGATCTTTCAGACAACCACCAACTACACAGATCTTTCAGACTATCACCAACTAGGCAGATCTTTCAGACAATCACCAACTAGGCAGATCTTTCAGACAATCACCAACTAGGCAGATCTTTCAGACAATCACCAACTAGGCAGATCTTTCAGACAACCACCAACTACACAGATCTTTCAGACTATCACCAACTAGGCAGATCTTTCAGACAATCACCAACTAGGCAGATCTTTCAGACAATCACCAACTAGGCAGATCTTTCAGACAATCACCAACTAGGCAGATCTTTCAGACAATCACCAACTAGGCAGATCTTTCAGACAATCACCAACTAGGCAGATCTTTCAGACAATCACCAACTAGGCAGATCTTTCAGACAATCACCAACTAGGCAGATCTTTCAGACAATCACCAACTAGGCAGATCTTTCAGACAATCGAACCAACTAGGAAGATCTTTCAGACAATCACCAACTAGGCAGATCTTTCAGACAATCACCAACTAGGCAGATCTTTCAGACAATCATCACCAACTAGGCAGATCTTTCAGACAACCACCAACTAGGCAGATCTTTCAGACTATCACCAACTAGGCAGATCTTTCAGACAATCACCAACTAGGCAGATCTTTCAGACAATCACCAACTAGGCAGATCTTTCAGACAATCACCAACTAGGCAGATCTTTCAGACAACCACCAACTAGGCAGATCTTTCAGACTATCACCAACTAGGCAGATCTTTCAGACAATCACCAACTACACAGATCTTTCAGACAACCACCAACTAGGCAGACCGTTCAGACAATCACCAACTAGGCAGATCTTTCAGACAACCACCAACTAGGCAGACCGTTCAGACAATCACCAACTAGGAAGATCTTTCAGACAATCACCAACTAGGCAGATCTTTCAGACAATCACCAACTAGGCAGATCTTTTCAGACACAGATCTTTCAGACAATCACCAACTAGGCAGATCTTTCAGACAATCACAACTAGGCAGATCTTTCAGACAATCACCAACTAGGCAGATCTTTCAGACAATCACCAACTAGGAAGATCTTTCAGACAATCACCAACTAGGCAGATCTTTCAGACAATCACCAACTAGGCAGATCTTTCAGACAACCACCAACTACACAGATCTTTCAGACAATCACCAACTAGGCAGATCTTTCAGACAATCACCAACTAGGCAGATCTTTCAGACAATCACCAACTAGGCAGATCTTTCAGACAATCACCAACTAGGCAGATCTTTCAGACAATCACCAACTAGGCAGATCTTTCAGACAATCACCAACTAGGCAGATCTTTCAGACAATCACCAACTAGGCAGATCTTTCAGACAATCACCAACTAGGCAGATCTTTCAGACAATCACCAACTAGGCAGATCTTTCAGACAATCACCAACTAGGCAGATCTTTCAGACAATCACCAACTAGGCAGATCTTTCAGACAATCACCAACTACACAGATCTTTCAGACTATCACCAACTAGGCAGATCTTTCAGACAATCACCAACTAGGCAGATCTTTCAGACAATCACCAACTAGGCAGATCTTTCAGACAATCACCAACTAGGCAGATCTTTCAGACAACCACCAACTACACAGATCTTTCAGAAATCACCAACTAGGCAGATCTTTCAGACAATCACCAACTAGGCAGATCTTTCAGACAATCACCAACTAGGCAGATCTTTCAGACAACCACCAACTAGGCAGATCTTTCAGACAATCACCAACTAGGAAGATCTTTCAGACAATCACCAACTAGGCAGATCTTTCAGACAATCACCAACTAGGCAGATCTTTCAGACAACCACCAACTACACAGATCTTTCAGACTATCACCAACTAGGCAGATCTTTCAGACAATCACCAACTAGGCAGATCTTTTCAGACAACCACCAACTAGGCAGATCTTTCAGACAATCACCAACTAGGCAGATCTTTCAGACAATCACCAACTAGGCAGATCTTTCAGACAATCACCAACTAGGCAGATCTTTCAGACAATCACCAACTAGGCAGATCTTTCAGACAATCACCAACAATCACCAACTAGGCAGATCTTTCAGACAATCACCAACTAGGCAGATCTTTCAGACAATCACCAACTAGGCAGATCTTTCAGACAATCACCAACTAGGCAGATCTTTCAGACAACCACCAACTACACAGATCTTTCAGACAATCACCAACTAGGCAGATCTTTCAGACAATCACCAACTAGGCAGATCTTTCAGACAATCACCAACTAGGAAGATCTTTCAGACAATCACCAACTAGGCAGATCTTTCAGACAACCACCAACTACTCAGATCTTTCAGACTATCACCAACTAGGCAGATCTTTCAGACAACCACCAACTAGGAAGACCGTTCAGACAATCACCAACTAGGAAGATCTTTCAGACAATCACCAACTAGGCAGATCTTTCAGACAATCACCAACTAGGCAGATCTTTCAGACAACCACCAACTACACAGATCTTTCAGACTATCACCAACTAGGCAGATCTTTCAGACTATCACCAACTAGGCAGATCTTTCAGACAATCACCAACTAGGCAGATCTTTCAGACAACCACCAACTACACAGATCTTTCAGACTATCACCAACTAGGCAGATCTTTCAGACAACCACCAACTACACAGATCTTTCAGACTATCACCAACTAGGCAGATCTTTCAGACAATCACCAACTACACAGATCTTTCAGACAACCACCAACTAGGCAGACCGTTCAGACAATCACCAATAAGGCAGATCTTTCAGACAACCACCAACTAGGCAGACCGTTCAGACAGTCACCAACTAGGAAGATCTTTCAGACAATCACCAACTAGGCAGATCTTTCAGACAATCACCAACTAGGCAGATCTTTCAGACAGACAATCACCAACTACAGATCTTTCAGACAATCACCAACTAGGCAGATCTTTCAGACAATCACCAACTAGGCAGGCAGATCTTTCAGACAACCACCAACTAGGAAGATCTTTCAGACAATCACCAACTAGGCAGATCTTTCAGACAATCACCAACTAGGCAGATCTTTCAGACAACCACCAACTACACAGATCTTTCAGACAATCACCAACTAGGCAGATCTTTCAGACAATCACCAAGGCAGATCTTTCAGACAATCACCAACTACAGGCAGATCTTTCAGACAATCACCAACTAGGCAGATCTTTCAGACAATCACCAACTAGGCAGATCTTTCAGACAATCACCAACTAGGCAGATCTTTCAGACAATCACCAACTAGGCAGATCTTTCAGACAACCACCAACTACACAGATCTTTCAGACAATCACCAACTAGGCAGATCTTTCAGACAATCACCAACTAGGCAGATCTTTCAGACAATCATCACCAACTAGGCAGATCTTTCAGACAACCACCACACACACAGATCTTTCAGACATTCACCACTACACAGATGTTTCACATTAACTAGGCAGATCTTTCAGACAATCACCAACTACACAGATCTTTCAGACAATCACCAACTAGGCAGATCTTTCAGACAACCACCAACTACACAGATCTTTCAGACTATCACCAACTACACAGATCTTTCAGACAATCACCAACTAGGCATTCATCAGACATCTGCAACAGATGTTTCAGACATTCATCCACTGCACAGATGTTTCAGACATTCATCCACTGCACAGATCATTCGGATATTCATCCACTACACACATCTTTCAGACATTCGTCCACTCCACAGATCTTTCAGACATTCAGCCACTACACACACAGATGTATCAGACATTCACCTACTACACACACAGATGTATCAGACATTCACCCACTACACACACATTTGTTTCAGACATCCACCCACTACACACACAGATGTATCAGACATTCACCCACTACACACACAGATGTATCAGATATTCACACACTACACACACAGATGTATCAGACATTCACCCACTATACAGCCAAGACTTGTTGAATATTTTGGAATGTTAGATTAGTTCTGGAAGACATTAGACTTACTTG